TCTGGCGATAGCGGGTCTTTGCGAGTCGGTAAATGTACCGTTCACCATCGCGCGACTCGAGTTTCTCATTGAGATCGGCAAAATGAGCTGCTTTCGCAGAAGCAACGGCCTTCTTTGCCTCTTTCTTCGCTATCTGATAGCGCTGCCAGCAACCGGCTGTCTTCTCCGAAAGAAAAGCGTGGTAGCGCTTTTTCTTCTCTCTTACTTTCTCTCTAACTTGATCCGTCCACAGCCATGTTTGCTTATCAACCTTTCTCCGTCCAGGCTTCGTCATGCCGAGCTCGGATCGCGCAACCTGGGTGATCGCTTCGGCAGCACCTTTCCAAGTTTCGTCGACAGTCGTTACCGCTGGCAATCGAATGCGGGAAACGACGGCCGCTTCTTTCTCCTTCAGTCGCCACCACTTGATTCTCGCTGGCCCACATCTTTCGGCTAGTTTCGGTCTCGGTGGGGCGATTTTTAGCGTACAAATCAATGGTCGGTGTTGTGTGACGACCGTTTCATAAGGTACTTACTTTTGCGTCCGTAACGAGCCCTTTGTCGGTGCCTAACAAGGACGAAATCGATTTGTGTTCTGGTTTTACCGCTATAGAATGTGATAAGATGTGAGTCACGTTTTCGAAATTTCGTGTTTACTATGGCGAGATTATGCGAGTCTGCATATTCAAGAATTCGTTCGCCATCAGTATTTTGACACGGTGACACAAACCGACCATGACAGCTAAACACGTCCTTTCTAGCCCCAGGGGGCCTTCGTAGTGCCATGAGGCACGGGCAACAATTATGGGCCCTTCCGTGTTAACGGATACCTAGCTGTCTGGCCATCAAGAGGTTCCAGAAATCTTGTCTTGTTTTGCTCGGAGCATCCAGTCTGCGGAGCGTACGCAGAGAAGAAATGGTATTTTTGATGTTCCATGACGACAACGATCTTCATTAAACGGTCGTCGAAGCGCTCCACGTTTACTATCGAATCACGAAAGCGTTCAGAGACAATCATCCCGACGCCATTGGTGGTTCTGGGACCGCCACATAGAACGGCCTTGAAGCCGCGGCCAATGTCCCTCGACTTGCAGCAGGACCACCTCGTTTCCTGCACGGCACAGAAATCAATTCTTCGGCGCTCCAGAGCTTCTGCTAACTCGTGCGAGCGTCCCGTTAACGTGCCAACATTTAACGTCGCAACGCGAGTCTTCCATACGTTGCGGGACTTTTGGACTAGCCTAGTTGCCCCCCGATGCCGTCCTTGCACCGGAGACCCTCGCATACTTTTCACACTCGCCGGGCTTTGCGAGTGCGCGTCGGCTCCCGCGGGAACGCCGGCGTTCAGCGATTATCTCGAGATACTTGTAGCGACATTGACATTGTGATGTGACTTGGGTGTTCGTAGGCCGGTCTGTCACGGGGGCCTGTCGCCTGCATTCGAATGTCCGTGGTCGGCTCAGCTCACAAAAGTGAGCAGTTTCCAGTGGCACCACTTGGAGGAAAAACCCGGACTCAGCCACGCGTGTCTGACTGTCGGCAGGTATGTAACACGAGGTATTGCGGATGCGTCCTTACTGACGTTCAACCCCTTTTTTGTCGACCCCCCTCCCCCCCAGAGGATTGAATCTCTCGACATTAGTAGGGATATATCCCCTCTGTGTTGGGAAGGATTGACTACCGCCCGGCTTGGATTGGTTAGGTTTTAGATAGAGGTAGTGGATTTTTGGGGGTAAATGATAGTTACATTTACGGACGACGTGATAGTAGAATACATTGTGCAGCGTGATTATGATAGTCACGGGTCTTTGTGGAGCGCCGTCGTGCACTCTGGGGTGTATTGTCTCTGCGGACCAACGGTGTTTCGGTCAATGGAAATCAGGATACTTTCCCGATGGCCGCTGAAACGAAAACAGGGGCGTAGGGGTACCGAAACCCGCCTTGGGAGAGTCGTCTGTGGTGGGGCGGCCGTGGCGCGCGGGGTTTGACTCCTCCGGCGGGGCTCCGGGGCCGTTTGATAAGGAAAAAACAGTGGCGAGACAGGCGTTGGGGGAGGAAGTGGCTGGACAGTTGGTAAGGGTTTCGGGGCTAATTGCAATTGGGCAGAAGGAGCAGCGCAGCGGGCGCGATTCGGGGCCGCCCGTGGTTTAGTTTCGATGTCTGGGGTATTTTTTCGAAAATGCCAACTTGGAGTGAGCCGGTAGAATAAGTGGACTGGTCTCTGAGGGCAAATACTTAAAGGAGCAGAACGAACAGTGGCGCACAACAAAGCGCGCCGCCGCATGGTTCCCCCCTCCCAACTAAGTTAGCACTGCGATTTCTTGTTTGTTGCGATCTTTGACATGAACTTTAAACGTTACTTAGCTTTCATTCGTAATGACCTAGAGAAGATTGAAAGCTCAACACTAAGCTGGAGGTACGTTCCTCTGCTCTCGTTCCTGTTTCAGGAAACCAGTAGCGCATCGAGTACAGACCAGACACCCCAAGTGACGATAGCCTCCACAAAATGTGAATGTTTATTGCCAATGAAGATTAGCCTGTAATGGCAAGGTATTCTAGCCGCTCTCGCTCTCGAGCTTGGGGACTATCATTTACAATATTCAGCTTTTTTTTAACTGATGAAAGGATTGAACATTGGAGACCGTCTCCATCCTCGTGGGTGTGTGGTCTGCACTTCACGACGCACCTGGGGTTCTTCGGAGCGAGGTAGGTACAGATACAAGCCTTATTCTGTCTGCTGCAAATAGGCAGTGAGAAATAGTGGGCAATGCTAAGAATGACCTGCACTTTAGATGAACGGAGAACGATCAATATTAAGGGTAGGGTAACGCAAAGACATGGAAGAACGTTGGGGGGGCGGAGGCAAAATGCAGGGGCGGGGAGTAACTGGGTTTGCGCGAACAACCACGTGACTAACATAAGGTGGCTTTCACGCACGAAAACCGCCCACTACTTCTGTAGCGTCGGCTGGCCATTGCTCTGGTAGCCTCCAACAAGAAGTGGAATAGCGGTCACGTCGGCCTTTAAGTTCCGACCGGCAATTCCTAAGTTCTACAACCGCTCATGTTCTAGGGATAAAACCTTGCCGGGCTCATTGTCAGGCACGCGCTCAAATTCGTTACGCATAAACGGTCTTTTCGCTGTGTCATAGGAGTCAGATTGGGTTTTTATGGGCGTTGATTAAGTCGTGGCAGAAAAGGCTCGGTGTGAACGACCTCTCTCTCGCGCGCGCGCACTTCTTAACCCTTGATATTATTTCTTCAAGACCTGACTCTTTATGTACTTATAAAACTCCTTGGTATTCCCTAAGGGGGGGGGGAATCACGAGTAAGAACGAAGGCGAAGAATGGAAAAACGCATAGTTGAGAGACAGGCGGGTCGGAGGGTACTGCCGGACGGCGGCAGGTGTGCGGGCAGCGAAGGATGTGTGCCCGAGGCGGAAGGGGTGGTGGGCTGGCGCGCGCCTATGGCGCGGCTAGCGGCGAAGCGCCAACGACTAATACTCACCCCTCCGCGCAGTCTATACGTGGCGTACGCGGATTATTATAGCTGAGGAGAGAGGGTGAGGCGGGGGCAACAAGTGTGAAGCAGCAGGCACTAGCGATGACGAGTCGCATCAAATGCGCCAAGAATCAACACAGGGAAAGGGAGGATTCCATTTGATCGGCTTCGGAACAGTTTCATATGAGAAGTCCTTATCATCCGCCCCTTAGACACTTCACCCTTATTTACAGAGTGAGTAACTTTCCATGTAAAATCTGCCTTTAACATAATTCTTATGTATCGCAAATGAAAAGTCATTGGAATCAAAGATGCAATTACGTGGACGATGTACTCCCTTCAGAAATCATAATCGACACTTCTCAATCGACGACGTATACATTACCACGGCTCGTTCTCGAATTAGCCTCATTGGTGATCCGAGACATACGTCTGCAACTTTGCTAATTACGACTCTGTCTACGTACCGAAGTTAAGCTGCATTCTGGAAGCAAAGTCTCCCGTATACACTTCTTTTCGCATCAGATCCACGAACTCAGCAGAAATTGCAGTAGTATATATTGCTTGTGCCATATTTCGAAGCCCCTTGCGGACAGCCAAACGGTCTAAGCCGGCATTGTGTCTCGATTTTACAATAATCTTTCACAGGCCTCCTTTAAGGCTCAACACATCGGTATCGTTACGATTTATCAGCATTACGTGTCTTATGGAGATAACATACCACCGCTTTCGCCTGACTACTCTATGACACACCTGTTTAAACTCCGCCAAGAATGGTCCCAAAACTGCCGCCGAGCCAGGGGTACATATAGAACTAGAACTATATGTAATTTCGTCCATTCACGTACATTTTTTGCGTGAAATGTGAAAAATTCATCGAAAACAACTCCCTCGCCCTACAACATGACCCTTCAATTCCAACGACTTTACGAATTCCCGAAATCCCCTTGCAACATCGGGCTCCTGTTGGAAAGTAGTAGACGGTACGGTTGACACCTGGGCGATGTTTCATCTCTCTCTTTTTAGGATGGCTGCGTTACGCCACATTTCAATTCTCGGATCAAGAAAGTGCGACACTGCTCGACATGAGAGCGTATGTTTCCAAGTATTTCGAGTTTTTTTTGGCAAGAAAGCACAGGGGCGCCCAACTGAGACACGAAAGCGGAGTGGACATCTGTTGTTCGCGCGCAAAATCAATCTGTATCTCAAAGTAGAGGGAATGAACTGTGAGATGGCCCAATGCAATGACTTTTTTGGTATTTTGCATTAACTATTTTTTCCATAGCTTTTTCTGAAGTTTTTTTTTCAGAGAAAACAGCCAAGGTTATCAGCACTTCTACACCGATTATCGCGTGAGTATCTTTTCTTCACATTCTATATTGCATTTATCGTGTCGGCTTCCTTCTTCAATAATTTCGCATAGCTTATCCTCTTTAATGGTGCTGTCGCGATGTTCCCATTCTATCACAAGGAACTTTTCTCTTTCTCCTCGACCTTCGCATGCTATTTTTCACGCTAGCATGTTACACTTTTACAGTAGGTGTAGTTGACAAAATGTTGCACTTTCCACGGTTGTCCGCTTTTTCCCGAGAAAGATCGAGTGCTCTGTGAGCACCTGAGAAATTTTCATTCCTGGTACAGCTGATGCTTTTTAACCAGTTTTCACTTTTCGGTTAATGAGGTCTATCGTATTCCTGAAGTAAAATTTCTGAACCTCCAATAGGACGAACTATTCGAGCGACTTTGGGGTGGCTGAGTGATTAGTGATTTATTGTAGTTCATACTGGTTTCGCTTCCTTGAGAACACGCAGTCGCAATTTGATGTGACGTGAGTGAACTGTGCGCCGGCTGGCCAGGTTTTGGGCAAGGTGTCCTTGCGCATTCCACTATCTGGGCGTATAATAATGATCTCAAAGATGCATCTGTGACGATTGCTTATGTCATGTTGATTTATTACTTGCACCGCTGTCTCCCAAAACCTTCAAAATGCCTCAGTTAATTTATTTTCCTCGTCAACCTGCAGTTCAGATGATTTTTGAATCTCTCTAAATCTAAATAGTTTCGACTGGCACTCCAGTACAAATGACATCAATGTCTAAGAGCAGTAATGAACCCTTCTACGTCGAGACAGTTGTGGTCATCTAAAGATACTAATCTTTTCTCGGATCACCTATTGATCGTGTTGGGTATCAGTGCAACACCAGTTCCTAATCGAGTACTCTGCCTCTGCGCTCTTCATGATACGATTTTCTTACACATTTTGAGGTCTCTCCTATGATAAAACAACTATTGTTTGTTACTAATTGACTTCCGTTCCACCGTATTTTTTGAGTTCTGACTGATTTTCATTGTTTTGCGAATTGGTAATTTAGAAAACCCCGTAATACAGCTCATCAAACCATATGAAAGCTGGTTTTTCAAAAGTCTAAGTTCCGACCAATAACGCTAGATTTTTCACCGAAATACCATACCCGAAGAACCTCACCGTTTTCAGTTTCATAATTGTGGGCGGCTCACTGGAACTTGGTTGCGCTTAATAAGTTTATTACGCCAAATACCCAGACAAATCAAAGGTGAGTGTGTCTTTAGAGTTATTGTTTTCAATTTTGTTGCAGTAGGACCAACGAACTTTCTTATTACTGCCAGTTTACTGGCATTGATCTCTCGCATTTCTTTCACCTTATTCCATCTTTGAGTAATTGTTGTTCTTGCATAATTCCTTTGTTTCGCTTTTTTTTTCTCGAAATTTCAGTAACCTTCCAGAGATCTCATCGAGTTCAAATCATTCACATTCGCGGTGTGAGATCCCGCGTGGGCGTGATCGTTCCGACTTGATAAACCTCTCTGAGTTATTTCCACCAAGCGCTTCAGTTCACCCCAAGGGACAGGTACGATATTTTAATCGAGGTAGTTTGTTTACGGAATTTTTGTGACATCCCAATGTCGCCGTTTTTTTTTGTTTTTGAGTTTGAACGGTGTGAATGTTCCATGAAATTCGAAATGATGCAAGCCTGTGGATTGTCGAATTGACTTCTATGTAAGCTTTAGCGACCTTAACTCTGTTCCTACCATGCCCTTCTGCAAAAAAAAATATGGAGCAGCACCGGAGTTATCTTGCAAGGCTAATTGAATTACTAGAAAGTGACAGTCTGCGCTCAATTACCGGTTTCTTGGCGCAATGTGGCAAATCTGTCGATATTTACCGGCGTGGTTGGACTGAGATTTTTTTGAAATTAGTTCATAGCGCCAGTATAATCCCTTCTTTGACTGACTAAGATGATGGTCCCCTGATTGCAATAAACCTCAAGTTTATGGGTGGAGACAATAAGAACTCAAGGAAGGAATAAAAGGTAAGCACAATGAGACAAACAGCGGATCTGGCTGGAGAGCAGTTAACA